CGACAAAATTCAAAAAAGATTTAACAGGAAATTCAAAAAGAACGAAGCAATTTCCCACGCGATGTCCGAGCCCAAAAGATCGAAATCGAACCGAAAGAAACGATGTCAACCTTTATTAATCGCGCGCGTGGTGGCGCGCTAGACATCCATCCGACCAATCACTCCACCGACCGTCCCAAGACACACCCGACCTCGTGCTTGGCCTTTCAAAAAAGAAACGACGAAAAAGGACGCAAAAGCGAGGACACTGATGCAATTCTCCACCGATCCTGATCTCCCGTAATTGGCCCAATCTTCCCAGCTTAGGACCCTTCATTGCAACCGCGCAGAAAATTGCGCGTTACAGAAAGTGGTTCGTCACATATGTGACGCCCAGGGGGTTCCAATATTAGCAAGCTCCTGCTTGCTTGTTGACACGTGTCGATTTCTCTAATTGATCGACACGCGGAGCAATTCTCTGTATATGCCACTTACCGATCGATTGCGTGTGGACGTCATCCAATAGTGGCAACTCTGCTCTTCTACTAGTTCCTCAGATTGGGCTCTTTGACGATCCAAGGACGGGATCTTTCTTGTGTCGTCACCGCGACACGCGTCCATTACCGCTGCATCAGTAATTAACTGGAAGGGGAAAGGGAAGGCGATACACGTATGAGGGAGGGCGGGCCGGCTCCATCGCAAGCTCGGGTATGAAGCGCCCGATCGCAGTGAGATCAGAGGGAAGTTCGTGGAAACGGACAATGCGATGGAAGCGGGGGAATCTCTGGCCGCTGCGGGGAAGGGAAGCGAGGTAGTCTGGGTAAAGGGATACGAGGGTTCGGAGGACGTATGTGCGGAACCGATCATGGGTCTCGCATGCGGGGAAGGTCCCCGTAACGATGCAGTAAACCTCTATATGGTTACGGCCTCGCCACGCGGCGCTAAGAAGCAGAACGTGGAGGGAGTAGTCGGGGACAGCACACCGAACGAAAGGGTGGGGGTGGACAGTCAGTTCTAGACGGGCAAAGTAAAAATGTCGGAAGGTGGCGATGGGGAAGGGATTACGGGGGTAGACGACGCGATGGAAATACTGATTGAAAGAAAGATAGCTAAGGGGATGGTGGTATATGGATCGGGGACGAAGGGCTAAGCCCCTCATTGACACGTTGACGAATTGGGGGACAGGCGGAGGCGGAGGGGGACGTGGATCGGGATCGGGATCGGCGCCTTGTCGTCGCGGTGTAAGGAAACCCGGGGAGGGGTGCCTACCGTTCGCTGAAGCCAAGGGCAACGACGCCTGTCACTCGCCGCGCCCGCTTCCGAGGTCCTCAGCGACCGATAGGGTATGTGGGGCGGATATGCCTGTCCGCCCCCACTGTGAGGAGGAGGTTTATATGCTTTTCTTGCGGCGCAACAAATTGTGAAAATTATTCACCCTATCAAACATTCCGTTTGGATCCACAGGTCTACGAGAAAGGATCAATTCTCAAGCACTCCCTCTCTCTCTCTCTCTGCCTGCGCAAGATTGAGTGCTTTAGCATAGATGCCAACAAGATATAATAAAAATTATCCTTTTGCCCGAACTCAGGCTGATTCAGTATGTTTCAAAATCTTTGCCCGTTTTCTCACCAATAATAAGGCTATGAGAACGACAAAGTTGCAGAAACTTGGGGGGATACACGGTCATGCTCTTGATTTGCTGTGCGCTGAGGCAATGCCCGCATACTCACCATAGGGTAGAGAGAATGAATCTGCTACTTAACCATGGAAAAGTATGCCCGTGTATTCTCAGACTCTTATGTGTCGCAGACCCGAATCTATCGGCAAGCCTGTGATTCTGCAAGTAGGAGGGATGGTGATTCCTCTGCTGGCAGTTGAATGGAGAACCTGAAATGTCACGTTACCAATTAAATTAATAATAGAGGGAAATCTTATAGGTTGCAGAACCCTTGAGTCGTATCATAAGGAATGAGGGGGTTATTCGTCGGATCTGACGAAGCTGATCCTCCTCTCGAACCCTCTGCTGTCCACAGATGAATGTGTTTATGGCCGTGCTGGGATCTCAATTTATTTACGAACTAAGCTCTGAGAACCGTTCAGATTCACGCACAAACGTGATCTCAATGTGTCAATGAACCAGACATTGAGAACAGCCCAGTTTCAAGTGGTATTTTGAATTATTCAAGTTTCCGTACATGACCACCCTGCTTTCTCTCTCTCTTATTCGCGCCCTCTCGCTCTCTCCCACGCGATCACTTTCTCTCCCTATGTGAGATCTCTCTCTCTCTCACCTACATGATCGCGACCCATCACCAGATTACTGTGCGCGTAGCCTTGCACGGGCTCAATGTACGTGCCCGCTGTTAGGGCCTGTCACCCAGGTGCAGCGAATTGGAAATTAAAAAACTTGGCATATTGAGCTGTTAGGGCCAGGTCACTCCTTTATCACTCATACTCCCGATCCNTGTTAGGGCCAGGTCACTCCTTTATCACTCATACTCCCGATCCGTATAGGAACGGATCCAGAAGTGTCTAGTCGTGTTTGCGGCCAGAGGAATCAAACTCAAATACAAAATGGCAGATCGTCTTCATTGCACGTGTGTCCACTCTTCATTCTCTCCCTCTCTCTACCTGACTCTCTATACCCCTCTCTCACTCTCTTTCTCAGTCTCTCTCTCCCACACGCTCTCTTTTTCTCTCTTTTTCTCTCGCTCTCTCAGGAATGTATCCACTCGCTCTCTCGCTCCCTCTTACTCTCTTTCTCTCTCACTAGCAGCGCACTCTTTCTCACTAGCAGTGCGCTCTCACTCACTCCATCACTCCCGCCTGCTGAGTCCTTTGGGGTTGCTCAAAGCTGAACGTACCTGGAGGCTTTCTCAGTCAGTTGCACCCAAGTAGAGAAGCTTACCCACTGACTCTCGTTTTGTCTCACCTTTCCTTTCTTGTGCACAGTCCAATCTAGCGCAARCCCACCTGGARCCGCCCGCGRCTGWTCAMGCATAATCCATACAACCACGTGCTGGCYGCTATGGCCATCAACAAACGAATGCGAACAGGTACCTTTARCTTGCACGGRCGAACGGTCWCCAACAGATCAGTCTTAAGAGCTGCAGATATCCGGTCAGCTGTTTCAAAACCCTCGGACGTCTGGTACATGGTCTCTAGCATTCCTTTGTCTGCTGCTGCTACCACATTCCTCAGTGTGGGCAGTGTACGCCATGTTCCCTTTCATCTCTCCCATGCTTGCTTCCCCACCTCTCTTCCCCGAAACTTTTCATGTCACCCACAAGATCTCCATCTTTGTCCGTTATCATCTCTCGCTGCATCCTCCCTGAGAGCGAAGGGGCACAAGTCAGAGTTTGCCCCTAAGCAGCAAGTCACACCCGCACGCTGCGAACGCCGGGCACGCAATGAAGAACTCCCCTGTCCGAATTTTTCATCACTCTGCTGGCCCTTCCCTATATCTGCCCCGGTGGCCTCTAGCCCGACTACCAGTAAGTCTGCGGAAYCTCCAGCGCCCAGCTCGAAACGGAACGCTGGTCTCATCAGTGCCCTTGGTACCAGACCCTCAGATTAGGATTATTTTTGCATCAGTGGCAGCGGCCCCATCTGTTGGTACCGAGGGTTTAAGTCCAGTAATCCTGGATCAGTGGACCAAGATGAGCGTGACTTCTAGCCGAGGAAGTTGTTCCAAGCCCTTAAGCCAGACCAAAACACCGTACCATGGAATATCAGCGTCTATTCGTAGTAAAGGGAACCAGTTCCAGAGCAGCAACCGCACCAAAAATAATATCACCGAACTGCTCTGAAGTATACAGATGGCAAACCAGTAGCTATATCGAAATAATAGCACCATACTACAGTCGAACCAACCGTAGGGCCAAAAAACGTACCAAAAATAATGGCATCGAACTGGAGTGAGCTGCAGCAGTCCCGAACCGGACCAAACACCATGGTCGTCCCAAGGTAGCACCTGCCCATGCGTCTCCCGCTCTCAGAATGTTCCAACAACGGTAGTGTTAGTAATCAAGCAAACTAGTGAAAGCGACGCAGGGAACCTCAGCCATCGGCAGCAGTGAAAACTGATAAAAATCCGGGGAAAATGCTCAATCCGGGGTCAGGGCTGATGGCGGGTAATCAAGGCGAAATTAGCCCAATCTCCCAATAGTCATGGTTTTCCGTCCCTTTTATCGTTTTTAATCATTCTCCCCTTTCCTTAATTCTGTTGTGGGTTGTCATGCCAGTGGCATTGCCGGGTAGCTACGTTGGTATGGGAGAACCGTTGAAAGCATATAAGCGGGAAACCCCTCTTGAAAAAAGTTATCATACAAAGTGAAAGACCATCACTTGAATAGGCGAGAAGTAAAAGCACCGTGAGGTGTGAAAGATGGGGACCACCGCCTGTCGTGAAAGGGGGTCACTGGGAAGGACCAACCCTTGGTCAACCCCCAACCATGTCTACGAGACGCAGTTGAACGGGTTCGTGAACGTGAGGTGCGGGTAGGATTAGGAACTAGACGCGTTCGGTCAGTGTCGGAAATAGTAAATTAACCGTAAGTTCCATAAAATTAAATCCTGGGAAAGTTTAAATAAATGACCGAATTCCTTTTGTTTCTTTTCTCTTTAACGATTTTAAATTTTTTTGTATGTTTTTAATTTAATTGTCAGGAAAATAAAATAACAACGGTATTCCCCCTAGAATTAAATGCTGTGAAAAATAAAAAAATTAAGGGATATTTTGTTTTTCCCTTCTCCCCTACTGGTCTTAACCCCTCTTCCCATCTTTAATTACGGTACTAAAATAGACAAAAATTTGAGGCCCCATTTCGCCCCGGTCGTATGCTATAAAACGTGGCGGCGAGGTCAACTCCCTTGATGTCTCTCCGCGGCAGGTCAATCCGGGTCTAACCCTCTGAACGGTCGGAAATGACAGTCCCTAGACATGCCGAGTCCGGTCACCCATCTCGCCATCTTTGAGGGTTACTCATAAGGCTCAGTGTGCCCAAAATCAGGGGTGCCCTGAGTTCCCCTAATTTTTGTTGCCTGGTCATACGAGACTACCATCAAAACACGGATTTGTCCCTGAGCCTAAGTCCCAAAACTGCGTTTCTCAGGCGGCGCACTGCTTATGGCCGCCTGACAGCGGCTCCCGAGGTCGTGGCAGCAAGGTCTCCATGTTCCGGTTTGGGCGGCTCGGGATCCTTTAAAGGATCGTTTGGTGCGGGATCGATCGCCAGCCGCTTTCCTTCCACGGTCTCTTTCTTGCGTTGCGCAGGAGCCTCCGGGTTCTCCTCTCGCCGATCTGGTCCTGGCACCCACTCGAGCTCGTCATGCGTTGGCTCCTGGTCGTCCCCTCTTCCCGCTTCTTCGTCGTTTTCGTCCTCCTCCTCACTTTGCTTGCCCTCGCTGTACTCTTCCTCCGAAGTCTCCTCCTCTGCTTCTTCTTCTTCTTCTTCAGCTTCCGCCGACTCTTCTTCGGCTTCACGCTCTTCTTCCTCGTCCTCGGCCAATCGGGCCGCTGCTTCCCCGGCCTCTCTCCTCAATTCTCCTTCCGATTCCTCTTCGGCCTCCTCTTTTGCTCTCAGTGCTGCCCACTCGAACGTCGTTGGTTGCCGAAAGAAGCGGGGATTAGTCAGACTGTGGACGTCCAGGTACTCTCTACGGGAGGGAAACGGTCGTCCGCCCAACGCTCCTCGATACAAGCGGACCCCTGGAGGCTCGGGGCGAGAGTCCTTGAGAGGGTATGTGGCACGGGTTCTTCGTCGCTCTGAGAGACGATGTCGAGGGGGAGTTCGTCGGCCAATCGCGCGATCACGATCGTAAGTTCGCGCACGATCTGTGATCAGTTTCCTCGAACCACTGCTCCAAAGACGAATCCCAAAAGATCTCCCGCCACGTTGGTCCTCCACACCTGAATGACGAGCAACTCCACAATCTCTGATGCGGGCCTCTGATCGCCTTCCCACGTCCAATTCAGATCCACTCGTAGCAGGCAAAACGAGAGCTCGACAAATTCTGCACGCCACAGCCTCCAACGGTCCGGATCAACGATGGGTACTGTCAGTGGCTCCAGACGGAAGGAGAGACGAGGGTAGTGAGAGGAATGCCAGAAGATGGGGAAGAGAGAGGGAGGAGAGAACGTCGAGATCGGTGCGCGGCTCATCTGCGGGGCTGGAAGGGAGCAAGTTCTGGGAGGACGACAGGTGGCTCGCGTAGCATCGTGCGCAGCGTGTTGACTTCAATGCCGTCGACAGGATAGCACTCGTCACTGTGCCTTGTGAGCCGTCGATCCCAATCAGTGGCCAGATCGCGACCCCACCGGTACAAGGCGCTTTTGATGGCGGCTTGCCGCGCCGGATCGAAGGCGGTGATGTCGCCGCTGAAGACTACCACGGTGGACACGTGGCTGATTCCCGGGGCCACTCCCCGTTGGAACGTCGTTGCCTCGGCCAGCACCACTACTTGTGGATTACTTGTGAATCGGAACTCTGCCGCGCCGTATACACCCGCAATGCAGAAGAACTGCGCAAGGCGCATGAAGTCTGGGCTAATCCACGGATGATGCACTTGGTGGATGGCGGCGATCTCTCCTCGTGGCATCAACAACTAATCACTGAAAGCTCGCTCGATGGCGAAACTCATGGCGATGGCGGGGGTGACGGGGTTGCAGAGAGGGAGCAGGAAACAGAGGGAGATGGCGGAGAGTCCGAGTCGTCGTCGTTGGCTTCCTCAGAAAGAGAGATCGAGGGAGAGGGAGACGGAGCAGAGGGAAGGAGGCGAAGATAGGACACGTGGCGTGTGATCGGACGAGCCGATCGGTTGCCAGAAACTTCAGGGGCGAGACGCACGGTGTCCACGCTGTTGGGGCCGAGCTCGATCACGCGATATCACCCGAAGAATCGTGGCGCTAGCTTACCTTGGCGAGCACATTTCCTCACTCGCACCATGTCCCCCAATTTGTACTGGGGCCGCGGACCCGCATTCCCATTTCGGGCCTCGTAGCTTCGGACCTGTCGGCCCTGGGCTAGTTCGGTCATTTTCTGTCGCTTTCGAGCTAGCCTGGGCAGCGACCGTTCCATTAACTCTAGGTGTCGTTTGGCCTTGTCCCGAGCCGTAGCTCTGGTGGGCCGCCAGTTCAATGTAGACTCATCCGGGAGGCTTGGTATTGAAACGCAAGCGACACTATTGGTCCTTAATTGGAAGGGGCTCAGCCCCGTCGATTCGTGGGGCGTTCCGTGATGGACCGCCAGGATGTGATCGACGATATCGGGCCAGGGTCTCGGATCCCGTGCCCCGATGTTTCGTCACAACACTATCTTTATCAACCGGTTAGCGTTTTCGACCAGCCCATTGGATTGTGACATGTGGGGTGCAATGTTCCGTATGGCGACGCCATGTAGGACCAGATTCCTGAACACTTCTCCCCTGAATTCAGCCCCGTTGTCGGTCAGGATTTTTTCCGTATCCTTATGCATCCTGAGGAAACGGTTGACGTATCGTGCGATTTCCATGGCTTGCCGCGTGCGACAACGATACGCTTCGATCCATTTCGAGAAATGGTCGACAAATACCAATAGGACTGAATATTCGCAACTATTAGGGCCACGGGGCACCTCTATATCGGTAGTGTCCATGGTTACTCTCTGAAATGGCCGTTCAACAACCGTGGGCACTATCGACCTGGGCGGCTGAATCGGCGCTTTATCAGCGACGCAGACTTGACAGGTGGCGACGATGTACTTCACATTGTCGCGGATATTGGACCAGTACCACTCATTTTTGTCGATAGCGGACTCCGTGATTCGTACAGCAAAATGAGCCGAAGTTTCCTCGTGGGCTGTCTTAACCCAGTCATACCGCATGAACGGATGAGGCACCACCATCCAAATCCCACTGCCATCTGTTTTCCGTTTTTCTAATCTACCCTCTATCCATCGATAATCCCGAACCCTTTCGTTGGCCCTCCTCCGATCTTCCTTGGTGAAATCCTGGAGGGGGTTACCTACTAGGGTGGCAATTAAGACAATATCCGTCCATACTTCGGCCCTTCTAAACGTTCAGGTCTTTTCCAATCCTTCTGACGTGGTATCCAAAAAGCGAGCCTCGGTCGGAATTTTGTCGGTCCTGCACAAGGGGCACAACCATGGTTTACTATCGTTCATGTATTGGATGCACGAGCCATGGGCCCGTGCAACACACTGTCGGCAATCTATCCAATCCACATATCCCACCCCGTTAGGACGCATGAAGACCGAATAGACGAGGAAGGTGGCTTCGCAAAAATAGCAAAATTTGTCAGGCAGGGAGAGGAAAGACGAAGAGGAAGGGGGAGAAAGAGGGGTAGTGGGGTTACCTCCATCACCCATCGCCACCGTTTTGCTTCTTGCCACGTGGGAGAACTGCCACTTGTCCGTATTTCGGTTCGTTAGTCAAGTCCGACTCTTTCCACGGCGTAATTTCCTCGCCCTTTGGTACCTTGGCAGGTCGATGCAGGCGTGTCAGCCCGTCCGCGTTGCCATGTCGCTCTGTCTTTCGATGGACGATATCGAAGTCGTATTCTTGTAGTCGCACCGCCCAACGGCCAATCATGCCCGTGTAGTTGGTGAGTTTCTTCAGCGCCAGCAGAGGCTCGTGGTCCGTTACGAGGCGAAACTTTTGTCCGTAGAGATCCGGATGGAAGTGTTGGATTCCCCAAACTACCGCATAACGCTTACCCTGAGGTGCGGAGTCGTTTCTTCGTTCGTCCGGTACGGTTCGTGACGCATACTCGATGACGTGTTCGCGACCATCGTTCCCCTTTTGTGCTAGGACAGCGGAAATAGCTTCCGATTGCCAGTCCGTGATGAGAATGAACTGCTTCGAGGGGTCCGGTCGAATCAAAATAGGGGCCGTTGCTAGAGCGTCCTTGAGGGTTGCAAAGGCCTGCTGGCACTCCGCGTCCCAGCTGAGAGGCTGGTCCTTCCGTAGCAGATTCGTTAGTGGTCGTGCAATCGCGGCAAAGCTCTTGATGAAGCGCCGGTAGTACGACGCCAGTCCCAAGAAGGCTCGAACCTGCGTCAGTGACGTAGGAACCGGAGCTTCCTTCACCGCCGCAACTTTTCTCGAATCTGGCCGCAATCCTCCACTTGTCACGACATAGCCTAAGAACGAAATTTCCGAGAGGAAAAATTTGCTTTTCTCCAGCGCAATCTTGAACCCAGCGTCTCTCAATGCACCCAATGTCTATTCGATGTGTTGCGCGTGTCCGTAATAGGTTTCCGAATAGACCAGGATATCGTCCATGTACACGATCACGCAGAAGTTGATCATTCCTTGCGCCAGCCGTGTCTTGCTGACGAAGTTCTAGAACGTCATGTTCATCGCTCGCTGAAACGTGGCAGGCGCATTGCAAATCCCCATCGGACACCGAACCCACTGCCACGTGCCCTCAAACAACACAAAGGCCGTCTTCGGCCCATCTTCTTTCCTTACCAGAATATGATGGAAGCCATGCCGAATATCAAACTTGCTGAAATATTTAGCGCATCCAATCGCATCCAACAGATCATCAATCCGGGGGAGGGGATACACATCTTTGATCGTGATTTCATTCAGCTTGCGATAATCAATGCAAATGGTAATCGCTCCGTTCTTCTTCGGTACTAACACTGCGGGAAAGGACCAAGGTCCAGTAGCGGGTTCAATCCAACCGCTGGCTTCGAACTCCCGAATTCGTTCAAGAGACTTTTTGCGTTCAATCAAAGAATAGCGATAAGGTTTGCAATGAATCGGGGAGTGATTTCCTGTCTGCATTTCGTGTTGAATTACTAACGACAACCCAATGTCAGTGTCTGACACACTAATCACTCCTTGATATTCCGTTAGGATTTCCGCAATTACCCGGTGGATTTCATCCGGCACATATTGTGGAACGTGCAGTTCAAAAAGTTGGTCCCAAATCAGAACGTCAATCTGTTTCGTGTTCGCCTGTTTTGTCAAATCGGGTGGAGGCGCCGAGATGAATGAATGATCCGATCACCAGGAGAACACCGTGGCCATCATCTGAGCATCTTCTTCTTGGATTGCCACGTGTCCTTCCGGGGTAATCCCGTCACACACATCCTGCCATGGCACTTCCTTAGTTGCGATCTTTATCCCCAGTCCGTCGGTTTCCGCTTCAAAACGCCCAGGGGGTTCCAAAGAGCTTGCTTCCGCCCCCAAGCGTAACAATCTCACTTTTTTAGCCGAGGTTAGTAAGGACTTGGGTAGATCCGTAATGTCACAGTAATGCTTCTTGTCGCTGTACCGGGCGAGGAGATGGGTGATTCCTTCGTACAGAGTTTGAGGGGGTTCCAAAGAATCGACCATCCTCGAAATCTGCATGAGGGGCTCACCCAAGATCATCGCCTTGGTCCTTTGAATTTTTCGGCTGGTTAGTTGCATCGTTCTCGCTATCGTTTTGGGTGGCGGGTAACAAACACGTTGTCGTGCTAATTTCAAGATCTCCGGATCATCCTCGTCACTACTTTCCACATCATCTGTTGACGACTCTCCTTCTGCGGATTTCTCCCAGGAGATCATGCGGAGAGTCCCTGCCATCATCGGCGAAACCCGTGAAACTGCGTTAATAGTAGTGCGAAGGGTCAATCGCATGGGCACAACATAGGGTTTTCCTCCTGTATTTCAGAGGACGATTGATCGTCGTTCGAAGTCCAGGTTTGCTCGTAACGCTACCAGAGCGGGAAGTCCGAAGAGAACGTCGTACGTATTGACATCTAGTACTACGACATCCCCAAGCGCATGCACTTCACCCAATCGAAAAGCGACATTGGTCATTCTTCCCACGGTTTTAATTCTTTCTTCGTCAGCCGAAACGAGCTGATCTTTCTCAGAAAGCGTGATCAAGTCGTTTTTCCTACCTGCCCTTTCGACCACTCTCAGTGAGATAGCCAACACAGCCGCTCCCGAATCTATAATAGCATTGTAAGGAATTCCCCAAATTTCTATATCACACTCGGCGGATTTCCACGGAATTGGTTTAATCCGCAAGAAATGATCAGCTTTCTAGATTAAACCTACCCGTATTGGTTCCGAAGTACTTGCGGGGTTTTCTTCGGGCGCGGGGTTTTTGGCTTTCGCGTTCAGGGTTCGGGCAAGGGCGAATCGTTTTCGGTTCGCTTTGCAATGTTGTAACATTCGCTCATTGGCTTGCTCGGAGATCGAGAGCAGATGGCCAATCGGAAGGGGAATCCGATGGTCCAAGGCTCGGATGATGTTTAATACATCGATCTCCCCTGTGACGAAGGTGGGTCCTCCCGACTCCATTTCTCCTAGGGACGGTTGCCACTCCGCCACCTCTTTTGGTTCTGGCGCTGGTCTGATTGTTCCGATCATTCTTAGCCCAGGATATCCCAGCGACACATACTGATCTAGCGGGATCAGTTCGGCGGCCTCTTCCGTGGTGGCCAGGGCACTTCCCCCACTTTCTACATCTTCCATTAGGGCTCCGACTCGTCCAGGTCCGTTGGCGATGGGAGCCACAGCCATAGGTGCGACCCCAATTCGCTGTTGCGGGGGTCGGTGGGGGCAATCACGGGCTAGATGGCCTGGCTGATGACAGGCGTAACAGACATTCAGATTATTTGCGACTCCTCCGAGCGCACGGGCCAGGGCTAATCCTTGCTGCATCGGAGGGGCGCATACCGCAATGGGTCGCATATTCCTCATCATAGCTTTCAGTCGAGCATTGTGCTCTCGCTGCTCCTTTTTCCTTTCCTGGATCAAGCTAATCAAGGTTTTGGTTAGTTCGAAAATGGCCGCCGATTCGTTTGATCGTACAGGAGTCTCAACCGGCGGCGAGGGTAATGCCCTGACGGGCGGGGGCATCATAGGGGCAGAGATGCTCGGAGTCTCACTTAGGATTACTCGTTTGGGGCCTATCTGTTCCATATAGGTGACATGTCCTGATACAAACCCCATGTTTTCAAATTTGTTCTGCAAGGCGGCCAGTTCTGCTCTCGCTCGTGCTAGCTCGGTCGAATCTCCGTCTCTAGGGTAGTCTTCTCCGTCCAGGAAGTTCGCCGCGAACTTCCGTTCCATTTCTTCCGCAGCAGCCATAATTTGTTGTAGCGTATGAGTGATGGGGGAAAATTGCTTTCGCAACTTTGCCCTTATCGTTCGACTGCGGAGTCCGTCAATGAACAGATCTCTCCCCACTTGCTCACCTCACTCAGTTGTTACGAACATTCTATAGAACCGGTTTCGATATTCCGCAACGGATTCGAACGGTTTTTGCACTCGGTTCTTGATCATGTACAGCGCTTGCTCAAGGTGGACATAATCAAATCAGTTCGTAAAGTCTCGTTCGAAGGTCGGGAGATCCACCCATACATAGGTACTATACCAATGATGGGCGTCTCCTCCCATTCTAGCCGAAATGTTGATCTGTGCTTCGTTGTCGGTGTACTGTTGGGCTCTAAGTGTGGCCAGCCATGCTCCTGCGAGATGGTGCGCTGGATCAAATAGATAGAGATCTGGTGGCGACATGGGAGCTCGTGCACGTGGGGCAGGTTGATTAGGTAGATTAGCATTTTGTTGCGGAATCGGATTTTGCACATTGGCAGCCATATTGGCCGCTCGTCGGTTAGCTGATCTGCTTCTGGTGATGATAGGGTCGCGTCTATGCGTGTTCCGAGGGCGAGGTCGCCCACGGTTAGCCAGGTCGCCTAATTAACGCGCTATCAATCCTAAGACCCTAGCCACGTGTCGGGCACCGGTACCAACCTCACGCCCAGCGCGACTTCCTGATCGGAGTGGAGTGTGGGACTGGAAGTGCGAAAAGGGGTGTGCCAAGGATTTTTGGGGGAAGTGGGGGAGTCTTAAGGGTATGAATGCAATTAGGCGAACGAGGAGTGAGCGCACAAGGGTCTCACAATCCGAAGGGGCCGGGACACTGTGGGTGACGGGTTACGGGAAAATTCCTCCGTGATGGAGATGGTCCCGAAAAAATAGGCCGTCGGGGGCTGCCACGTGGCGCAGGCCGCCGCGTACCTGGGTTGGGCCTTCGGGACTCCGGAACTCTCTGTGTGCCGCTACGTCGGCAGTTCACGCAAAACGTATTGGGCCAATAGGGGGCTATGGCCGGCCACGGAACGACACTGAGTTGATGATACGGGAGAAGGAGGCGGAAAGGAAGGAAACTGGTGGTGATCTCAACGAATCCGGGGTGGGTGAAGTAGTAGGTGTGGTCGGGAGAAGGAAAATCGGAGCACCGAGGGTCGCTAGAGGTTGCACAGTGGAATTCCCGCGGGCATAGCCGATTCTCCGTGTGACAGGGGTATCGTGTCCTTATTAGCTCGTTTATTATAGGGGTGAAATAGTCCGGATCATAGGATGAGTCTGAGCCCCAAGATCACGTCATGGTATCATTATCGGTGGGATAGCGCGGGTCGGGATATGGTCACCGCGCACGAGCACGTGTAGGGCAGGCAGACTCAGTGGCGTCTCAGCGTGCTCGTACGGGATGATGGTTCCACCGCGAATCTTTTTTGGGTGAGCGAATCGACGCACGGGAGTGCGTGTAAGGGCGCGACTCGGATCGCGTTTACACGTGCTCGCGGCGTTCGCGGGACCAGACTTCGGATCGTCGATTATGCAAGATGCAATGATATTACAACCCCCATCGCGGGATAAGCAAAAACGAGAACAAACCACTATCAGGGCCAGATTCTTATCCCATCTATAGCGACCTCAGGTGCAGGCAAAGATTCGACACAGACATAACGCAAGGACAGTGATTCTCAGCAAAAAGATAGACAAGCAGTCCTGTCATCCATACATCCATACATCCATACATTTGACAATCATACACATAATGCAAGCAGGACGGACATCGCAAGGACGAATGTGAGCAAAAACCCAAACCCCGATTTCCAAAAGCCGAAATGAAAGTAAGAACGGGCAAACCGCCCGGAGCCGTAACCAAAATGTATGTACACAGGTGAAGAGGGGGAAGAGACAAAAAAACAGCAAATCCGCGTCCATCGACCTCAATTTTTTCCTCTCTCTCTTTCTCTCCGATGCGGACAGTCCGTCGTCACGCACCAACCCACGAAGTTGTCACCCCGCTTAGTCCTCCCGCACCCGTCGGATTCGCCCGTGCCCACAGTCCGTCGTGGCCCACGTCAATCCCGTGCGTTCGGCACCAGCCCGTCGGGTCGCCCAACTCCTACTCTACTCACCTCTTTCTTCACTCGTGTGCCGACCCTTCCTGATCGCGCAACCTCGAGCTTCCAACAACGGGTTAAGAGAGCTGACTAATCGCGCAGCCGAAATTTATAGCATGCATGCATGCGCGAAGAACACGGAATTACCAGGACTTAGAGTGAGGAGTAGAGAGGGAACGCCTGCGTTCTACATGATCGGCCGCGGCGTGGGGGACGTAACACTTCTCCACGCATCGATCCGAGCATGCAAGCCGCGACTTACAAAATTTCAGCAAGAGAAAGAGAGGGAGGGCGGGAGAGACGAAGTGCAAGAAGAGAGATACAGTTACAATGGCGCCCGCCCAAAATTACAGTTACACGTACGATTAAGGGCGCCCACTAATCAGAGTACCGTTGCAGCCGCATGAAGAAGCGCGTAAACAAAAGGCGTCGCACGGCAGGAAAAATCCTAATTACTAAATTCCTATCTAATGCGAAAAAGCAAAAAGACGCACGAATTCCATAAGGAAAGTCTGAAATTCCGAGAGCCATTGGGGGCTCGACAAAATTCGAAAAAGATTTAAAAGGAAATTCAAAAAGAACGAAGCAATTTCTCGCACGATGTCCGCGCCCAAAAGATCGAAATCGAACCAAAAGAAACAACGTCAAACTTTATTAATCGCGTGCGTGGTGGCGCGCCAGACATCCATCCGACCAATCACTCCACCGACCGTCCCAAGACACACCCGACCCCGTGCTTGGCCTTTCAAAAAAAAAACGACGAAAAAGGACGAAAAAGCGAGGACACTGATGCAATTCTCCACCGATCCCGATCTCCCGTAATTGGCCCAATCTTCCCAGCTTAGGACCCCTCATTGCAACCGCGCAGAAAATTGCGCGTTACTGAAAGTGGTTCGTCACAATGGCCTTAAGACATGGCAGTGGCTGTCTGGAGGTTGCGTGCAACTTGCTCGACCCCGTAGTTAGTGGATCGGAAGCTGTGCAGAGTCCAGTGCAGCAGACAGCCAATCAAATATCTGCAGAGTGCAAACCTGCAGTCTTGGAGGGATACTTAACTGGCCCTAGTATTGATGGAATCAAGCTGGTTCTCGAAAATCATTTGTCAGAGCTGCGGCAGTTCAGCGACAAATGATTTTCGAAGGACATCGGAGAGCGCTTGAGGTTCTCAGAAAAGAAGGAGAGACCTCAAGAGCGGGTGTGTGTCCGGTGCCGAGCGGAGTCTTATGGGAATTCGCACACTACCGTCTTCCCCCGAACATAACGCAACCTGATTCGAAATGTATACAAGGCGTCTTTCCGGTTGGATGCAGTCATATTGAGGGTGAGTTGTGTTCGGGGAAGACGGTAGACGTCTTTATGCATGTTAATGAGTGGACTATACATTTACGGTCAGATTACCCGTAGTACGTGCATGTCTGCAGTGACATCCGCGCCAGCATCCAAAGCATGAAACCGCCACTCCCTTGTCGTGACCGTCCTCTGGGCGTCACACACTATCTGTGGATGGAATGGAAGAAAAAGTCTAAAGAACCGTGGCTGCTGTCTTGGCCATCCGATGAGCCACCTGAAATATGGGGAAGCCCTGTGGTAACCACCCCAGGTGCAAAATTTGGGAGAGGGGGGAAGGAGTGGGGGGAGGAGAGGGAAGGGTTGAAACCACTACAAGTTCTCATAAGGCAGGAAGCAGGGTTGGAGTTCAATTTCCAGATCACTGTGGGTTTGCCCTGCACTGTGAGCTGTGAGCTGTGAGCCGCTAGTGATGTGAACCCAGCTGCAGGCATAGTGCATTTCAAGCTGCTGAACTGACGACTTCTGCTAGACGCCACTTCAGGCAAAAAAAAAAAAAAAAAGGAACAGGTAGGGGGACGATCTGCAAGCTGAACCGGCGACTTCTATTAGATGTCAGTTTAGGAATAGTTAGGGGCCACTATCCGCACCGTATTACATGCCACTTCATAAATTTAGTGGTGGTGGATGACACACAGTGTGTATCCGCGCACGAGGAGTATCATTACTGCATCATCATACTCGATGCATGCACATTTCACACCACCTCGCAAATCTTTCTCGTCGATGACACATGTGGTGTTGACCACCTCAGAAATCTTTATCGTCGATGACACACGTGGTGTTGACCACGTCGGAAATCCTTATCGATGACACACGTGGTGTTGAGTAACAGTTGAGCAAAATAGATCATCCAGAATGCATACGACATTTGCCTACTTATAGATGAGTGCTTATCCTGCAAGCGGCGAAGTATAGGTCAAGACCATGCCATCAAACAGCAATCGAGAGATATTTCATGGACCATGGGTGAGCAGTCGAGAGACATTCCATGGGAGGAGACACACATGGGCCAGATTCAAATTCCCTTGTCACTGCGGGCTTTACCGTGAGCAGTGAGTAGTGACATGGGCCCTGCTGCCCACAGTAGTGCACCCAGTGTGAACTGGCAGCTTTCGCTAGACACCCCGATTCCAAAATACGTGGCTAGGGATGATGCTCCGCATCAGAAATGGCCCTGGATGGCATGTAGGGATGGTGTGTTGCTAGAGGCCACTTCAGAAATAGTTAGCAATGACGATGCGGAGTGTACCCACGCCACTTCAGAAATGGTTATGGATGACATGCACGGTGTACTCCCGCCAGGATTACTCCGAGTGCGCATTGGCCCGCATTCCAGACATTTGGTGACCAGGCATGTTCCGACTGGATTGGTTGAAAAACCTTGGGAATGTCCTGCCTCAGGGTCTTGTCTCGGCTACGATTTCATCCAGGACAAGACCATGTCAAAAAAAAAAAAAAAAAAAAAAAAAAAAAAAAAAAAGACAAAAAA